TGTTCAACGTATTCCTCAATGACCTGGAGGAAGGCACAGATGCACCCTCAGCAAGTTTGCTGATGATCCTAAACTGGGCGGAGTGGCTGACACACCAGAACTGTGCTGCCATTCAGAGGGACCTGGACAGGCTGGAGAGATGGACAGAGGGGAACCTCATGAAGTTCAACAAAGGCAAGTGCAAGGTCCTGCACCTGGGGAGGAATAACCCCATGCACCAGGACAGGCTGGGGGTTGACCTGTTGGAAAGCAGCTCTGCCAAGAAGGACCTGGGAGTGCTGGTGGACACCAAGTTAAGCATGAGGCAGCAGTGTGCCCTTGTGGCCAGGAGGGCCAATGGTATGCTGGGCTGCATTAGGCAGAGTGTTGCCAGCAGGTGGAGGGAGGTGATCCTGCCCCTCTACTCAGCCCTGGTGAGGCCTCACCTGGAGAACTGTGTCCAGTTCTGGGCTCCCCAGTACAAGAGAGACATGGCACTCCTGGAGCGAGTCCAACAGAGGGCTACAAAGATGATGAGGGGACTGGAGCATCTTTCCTGTGAGGGAAGGCTGAGAGAGCTGGGCCTGTTCAGCCTGGAGAAGAGAAGACTGAGGGGGGATCTCATCAATGTGTGTAAGCATCTGAAGGGAGGGTGTCACGAGGATGGGGCCAGAATCTCCTACGTTGTGCCCAGCGATAGGACGAGAGGCAACGGGCACAAACTGAACCACAGGCAGTTCCATCTGAACCTGAGAAAAAACTTCTTTGCTGTGAGGGTCACAGAGCACTGGACCAGGTTGCCCAGAGAGGTAGTGGAGTCTCCTTTGCTGGAGATGTTCAAAACCCGTCTGGATGTGATTCTGTGCAACGTGCTGTAGGTGACCCTGTTTGAGCAGGGGTGTTGGACTAGATGATCTCCAGAGGTCCCTTCCAGCCTTGGCCATTCCGTGATTCTGTGATTCTTGTCTTTTACTTGTGCTTCATAAATCCCAAAGAGTGTGTGAATATCTCATGTTGACTATGCTACCTACTGTGTATTTTTCGTAATTGGAAGGATTTTTGTATTCAAACTTGAAAGTTAAATTATCTAGAATAAATAGATTCAGTCTTCATTTATTCCTGGTATAACCAAAGAGAGAAATAAAGGACAGACACATAATTTATCTAGGTCTCATCTAGATGGAGACAGTTAGCATGAAACCATCATCTGGTCTTTATGGAGTACTTGCAATCATGCATTGGTGAACAAAATTGATCCCACAGCATTCAGACAAACAGACCATTGATTAATTTAACCTTAATTTGAATAAAGCTGACCGTTAGGTTATTCATCACTTTGCTAATCGTTATGAACAAAATGCTTACACAGAGATTTTCATATAGTCAGCGTCTGTGTAAATAAATCTGTTGCTTTCAGTATACGGGGCAGCTGTAGTAGCTTGCTCAAGTAGTTTATCTAGATTTCACTTTATCTTTCCTAGCACAGGAGTCAAGTTTGCCAAAAACATCTCAGGTCTCTGAATAGTTCTTCAGATAGAGAAGTTTGCTGCAGAACATTTCACAGCAATAAACTACTTCAGCGTCAATCAGTATGTTGCAGAGGAAGCTTTATTCAATGTGAATGGACTGCCCACTGCCCACTGATTCATGCTGCTTTTCTATGACTGTGAGCCATCAAGCATGTACTCTGTAGTACATAGGTATGAGTACATTTATACTATCTTTAACAACTAAATTTACTCATATTTGATACCATCCTTAAGTGCTAAATTATACCCCAAATATCAATAACCATTTTGTTGCCTGTCAGGTTAGATTAAGTTTTGATAGGGTCCAGTTAACTCATGTTACCATTATGCATCTCTTTCTCACTGTGACAAAATGTCATAGGCTTTCTTAAACTGAATTTATAAACTAGAACTAGAATTAAAGTTGTATTTTCAGTTAAGGTTTCAACTTTTAACTTGTTTATCTTCTAACATATTCTAGCAGAATAAGGTGGTTGGTATCCAGAAATGCCACCATGGTTCTTCAGAATCACTCTGAATGATGTCTTTTATACCTTATTTTATCTGCTTAAATATTCTTTATTCTTTATTTTATCTGCTTAAATATTCTATTATCCAACATTTCTTAACCTTATTAATTCATAGGAGAGGAGTACCTTATAATTATTGGCAGTACTGTTATGATCAAAGTATCTTCTCTTTATCTCATTTTCAAGTAGTAAGTTACTGAAAGCTTTCTGGATAGGTTTTATGTATGAAGATACCTCTTTTTCAGATCACAGATATCCAATAAATTTGTAAGTTCAAAGAGTAAGGTACTCTTATGTACAAATACTGGTTGTATTTTTACACAATTTAAAAAAAAGAGATTTTAAACTACCAACACTCAAAAATAATACATAAGAAAAACCTAACTCATTGAAGTCAAGTTCTTTCAAAGGCTCTGTGACATATATAGTAAGGAAAGACTTTATGAATCTAAACTAACAGAGCAAGATTTATATAAAACTAAGTGTATATGTAGACTTACGAAAATAATAATGGATATCATCTTAGCTTAATTTCCGTACTAAATGTAATGCATGATAAACATACATGTATTGCTAATTTTGCCAAATATAGAGCGCGTTATTTATAAACATCAGTAGATACAGACTGAATAAAACTTTAATTTCTCCCAATGTGCAGCCAAATAAACTGTCTCTAGAAATATTACTTTCAAGACAAAAACTGGAAAAAATAATCACAATAAAAACTCTTTTTATCCCATCACATTAGAAATATGAATATAAATTAGAAATTTTCATATACAGTCTATGTGCATACCACAATATCTTCTAGTAGGTTTTTTTTGATTTATTAATTTTATTTGTGAATTGAATATAGTGAACAATAAAATTATTTGCTTTCTTGTACGCAAAAATTTTTTTCAAATGAGCTGTGGCTAAATTGCTTATTTAAATTGTGTAAATATTTTCTTCAAATCTTAATATGGAAACTCTTTTGGAAAACATTTCAATGCATACAACTTTAATAGTTCCATACAATTTGAGAAAAAACTTGTGAATTGCTAAAGAGCAATTAAAGTCTGTTACCACATTGGATTTTTTTGCTTACATTTCAAGAATCTTAGCACGTCTATTGCTTTCTTTTTTGTTCTAAATGGCTGAGGAACTACTATCTTTGTATTAGCAAATACAGTACCACTAGCCAGTACATACTGAATACTACTGTTCTGAATTCCTCTTGATTAGAGCTGATAACTAATGCTATGTGTTATTAAGCTCTAAGGAACTCAAAGGTGGATGAGTTTAAGTTGAGTTGAGGCTGTAGGGAGCCCTCTTGTAAGTGTTATTAACAAGACTTAATTGAGAATGTTTTGTATACTGTAGAGGTATTGTGTTTATTTTCTTAATGGGAAGGGAAATTGCTGTCACACATTAAGATTTCAAGAAATTAAGGAAATATTGTTTGACCCAGTATGGTGTGTAGTTTATGATATTGCTTCAGTCCTTGATGGAAGAATAAGTCTGTCAAAGCTGGTTGTTCTTTTTCCTTTTCTTTTGATCTCTGGTCTGTGTAATGTTCTTTTATCTTCAAGAAAGCTTCCAGGCCATTACCGTAGCAATTTGAACTAATAGCCTAGTCTGTATAGGTATTGCTCTTTCAAGTAATACATTTTCTCTGAAGGAGAGTTCTCTGAGCTTTGAGGATCTTATTGCTGTTTTTCCTGTCCCTTATTTTATTTTGAGACATCTCATTCTTCTGGCTGAAAACAGGATGTAACGCTTTTAAGAAGAGTCAGCAAGGAAGATGGTACAACGTGCTTTTCTCCCTTCCACTGCAGCTCACATTAAGTCTTTATCAGTATTCTCAAGCTGGGATCCCTGGGTGCATTTTTATTATCCTGGCTGCTTAGGCACTCATGCTGTATATGGACATCTATGAATGTACCTCTGTGTTTATGTGAAGCTCCTTAATGCCATTGTCTGTATATCATCACTGAAGATAGATGAGATGCTTGAGATATTTGATACTTAAGTGAATCCTTCAAGTTGGATGAGGTTGGATTTCCTTTTATATTCCAGAAGAATACTTCACAGAGATTTGAAGGCAAAGAATATATTTTTGAAAAATAATTTTCTTAAAATTGGTAAGATTTCCTTACTTTTTAAGGTATGTTTTAGTATGATAGAGCAGTCCAGCATAAATGTGGTGAATAAGGAGATTTGGATAAGGTGATATCTGATATGGCATTTTGATTTGTTGTCAAACATTTGTTTGACAGTCACACACAAGAAGAGGGGCCCAAAAAGGCTGTTGGATCTCTCCAACCTAGGGATACTCAGAACTTGACTGGACACAGACTTGAAGCTTGAAGTTGGCCCTGCTTTGAGGGTCTAGGGTTTTGGATCAGTTGACTTCCAGGGTCCCTTCGAACCTACATTATTCTATAGTTCTATGATTTTGTGTTGTTTTTAATAAATTTACAGAAAATTTGGTTTTTCCATATTTTAAAATTCTGGCAAATTTTTTCCAGGGGCAGTTATTGCATTATATCTAACAATAAAAGCAATGATAATATGAATATATGAATATTTGTATATGCTCTTGAAATGTAAATACTTACTTAGAAACTTACCTTTTTATAGTTATTCATGCTTTTACCCTAATATGGATTTCCTAATCTATAAACTCATTCATTCTCTTTATTTACAAAATTCAATATTCTTAGGATACCTTCAGTATTTTATTTCCACTACATTTATTTTGTGTTAATTTCCTTTCCATAAAAAGTTCAAGGCATTTATCATAACAACTTGATCTCAGCAGATTTCTAATTTTTGTGTAGTGCGCATCACAGTGGTGCCAAACTGTCAAACTTTGAGCTTAGAGCTGTTGACTGTATACACATTGACAGGGCTAAACTTTTCTTAGTATGCCAACAATATCATTAGTCTTGATCTGCAGAAGTTACCTGAACAGGCAGACAAAGGCTTGTATTTTATTTTAATTCCTTGGCTTATTTGCCGGAAATATAAGCTGAGTTGGCTGAAGACTAATCCTTCCTTTCTTTGAAATGTATGTTAAGTGGAGATGGGGAAGTAGGTCAGGCATTTCCAAAAACATTTAAATAAGATCGACATCCAGATTTTTGGGTTACAATCAGTTGGGGCTGAATTTGAAGTGATGATCAGGAGATGAAAAAGTTCTCCATCCCATTACCAATATCCTGAGTTGTCCAGTAAACTCCGTTTTTGGGTTGACGTCTTCAGAACGTTGACAGTTTATACAAGCTGAGTATATGGCTCCTAATTAAAAAAATTAAAAGTGAAGAGAAATGGGTATGAAATCTGTGGTAACCTTGAAGTTTTTTGTCTTAATTTTATCTTCTTATTCTTATTAATTTAGTTGTTTTGTTGGGTCTTTCTGTTGGTATCATTAGGGGACTTTGGAGTTTCTTGTCTTTTGATGGGGTCATGTGATCTTGCGACTACGTTTACTGGAACACCGTACTACATGAGCCCAGAGGCACTGAAGCACCAGGGATACAACACAAAATCTGACATTTGGTGAGTAGTTACCATGCTATTTCTGTTGGATTTTTCGTTCATTCAAAAGGAAAATTAGATAAAATGACATTTTCTAGGTCACCATTTGCTGTATTTAGGATATTACTTTTTTAAAAAACAGAGATTCATTTTGATGTAAAAGGAAGCAAGGCTTCCTCAGTAGGATGCTCACACTTCTCCATTAAGACTGTTTCAGGAAATTTCTGTTTTATGTTACAATTCAAAGGTTTGCTCTTTCTGCTAAGAAGCATGTAGTTTACTGCTTTATAGAGTTATCTGTGGCTTCAAAGGCTTAAGGGTAGGTTCCTGAAGAAGAAAACAAAGTGCCAATCCTGCATTCATATGATAAAAAGAATCCTTGAGATCAGGACTTCCTGAGGTGTTGGTTAAAGAATCAAGTTGAGAACTTGAGATCTGTTGACAGACTATGAAACGTTTAGGCGTGCAGGTTCCTTTTTGTAGTATTTCAAATCAGGAAATTTCCTTCATGAAGACTTTAACCACAGGAATGTAGTTTGTTTACTTGATAATTTTATCAGGCTTTCACTCCATTCTGCGTTTTCAAAATATATGTATGAGTGCAGCATACAATTCTAAAAGTTGAGAACAGTAACAGTAACCAGTTTTAACCAGTAAAAACCATTTTTCACAGTTAAACAGGCTCAATCCAGTCAACAGATGAGACAAGAGCCTTGTCTCATGCTCCCTATAGCTGAACTGACATGGATTTAATGTAAGATGCTGTCTTGTTCATCTATATCAAAACAAATACATGTAGTCAATAAAAATATATTGGAAGGAGATTTCAAAAGGTGTGAGAATTAATGAACAGGCAGAGAAACCTGCCTTTTGCGTTCTGTTACTATAAGGAATAATTTCCTCTTATTGCAGTTGAAATCGGATGTAAAGAATGTGGTTAAGTTCCATTCATAATTACATATAATTCATAATTACAGGTCTCAATCCATATAAGTCATACAGAGGAGAAATTGGTCCAGTGTTTTTACAGATGATGAGTTGACTTAAACCCTTTTTAAGTTTACAAAATGGTCACTAGCTAATAGCTTTCTGCTATGTTTTGTGCATTTGTATTTCCAAAGCAGTAACCTACACAGAGTTCTCAGCTGGGGCTGGAATTGCCCTCAGTAGGGGCACTAAGGACCGGTTGTGCCCTGACTCACTAGTCCTACTTTGCGAGCCGAGAAACCCTTGTGATGAAGATGTGACAACCACCATCACTCCTATTTTTGATTGTTATGTTGGTCATTTCATCTCTTCATTTAATATTTTAATAATGATTAATGATTCTGTTTCATTTTTTTGGATTTGCTGTCTTTATACATTCAGCCAGTAGTCACTGGGCCCATGTGAGTTTGAATTGCTCATCTCACTAATTCTGTTTGTGAGCCCTCCTGTCCACTCCTTTGATCTGTACATCTCGATCCAGCCCGTTGTGTTTTGAGATCCCTCAATAGCACTAAGCACTAAAGTTTTCATATAATTTTGCATTTTCATTTCATAAGATATTTCATGTATCTTCCTTTTCCTCTGATTGTATATGATGAGGTTCTGTGTCAAAACTTTGAAACTTTACAGCTTTGCCTCTGGTTTTTCGTTTTGAAATTTCTTAGTGGATTTTTGCTAATTGTTTGTTGATTAAGAAGCTTGCATGTGACGGTAAGATACTGGTGATCGGGAAGCAGCATGCTCCATTTTTGAACAGACATATTTGCATAACATTTTTGGGAAACTGGGGAAGAGATGTAGTGTCAGGGTAAAGTCCGTTCTCCACAAGTTTAATGGAAAGTGTACTAGTGCCAGGGACAATATAAGCTCCATTCCTTGAAACAGAAATTGGTGATTGAGATGATCGTGCCTTGCAGGAGATAGTTGAGCTGTTGGCTTTAAAAATCACTTTTATTTATCTGAATGTATGTAGAAGACATATTCTCTTCAAAGTTCATTTGACAGCTATTTTTAGCCTATCATGGCCTGGTAACTTAAGATGGATGAGTTTATCTCTGCAGCCTTTTGTTATCAAGCTGGTAAAAGGGTTGGTAAATGTCTGTCTCTATTGAGAAACCTTTTTAATTATGAGATAAAAGTGTATTTTTAAAAAAGCTGATGAAAGCTGAGTTTTAGTTGCTGAATACATGAGAACTCTGCTGAAGTTCTGCTGTTGTTTGGGGGGTTTTGTTTTTGGGCTCTTTTTAGCATGACAGCTCATTTTCCTGGAGCTAGTAACTTATAAAGAGTAAATTCTTAGCCTTATTAAAATCATTTGGAGTTTTCCCTTTGATTTCAATTGATCCCGCAGTTCTTCTTCTCTTTGTCTAATTAGGTCTGTACTGGCATCATTATTTATAATAATGTCTCTCTCTATATATGATATATATATGAAATTATATATATAGCATAATATCTTTATTTTTTTGTATTCTCACTGACTGTAAAACCCTGGTAAGCATGAAACAGGGTTAATTCTACACTGGCTAAAATGACCTAGGATTTTTACAATTCGAGAGGCCATACGTTCTCTTTCATTCTGGCTTCAGCAGTGTATTGTGTAGGTATTTCTAACAGAACTGTTATTCCTTGTCTGGTTGTTTATTATTGTACCAGACATCAAGTTTGATGAGTCTGCTCTTGTATCTTTCAAACTACAGTATATTCTACAGCCCCAATACATCCATCCATGAGAGAGGAGGAAACAAGAGAATTATCTGTTGGGCTGAGGAACAGCCTACTTCCATTCACACAATTTTTATGCAGTGGCACATAAGAAGCCGTAGTAAAAATGAACTTCATATATAAACTTCATATGTCTTACCTTCAGTCCTACCCTTTGTGGCAGGCCTATGCTGCTTGAGCTGCTGGGGACCAAACATGGTTGTAAGAAATGACTGAGGGAGCAAGCATTCAGTCAGCTTTGATTCTACAATATCTTTAACTGCCTAACATAGATGGGACATGTATTTGATAGATCTATCAGTAACCTCTCCAAAATTTTACAGATCATGTTGCTTTTCTTAAAATTAGTTAAAATAATGTGGAATGGAAACATTTGTAATGGTAAACCACATCAGCATTCAAAACTGCTAGTTTTGCCCAAATAGCGATAGTGGCATAGGAGTTAGTGAAGCCTAGTGGTGTGATATATGAATATTTTTGTTGCTACTTGGAAGGACCAATCTTGGATTCCACAAAAAGCCTATGCCCTTAGGGACATGCACATGGAAAGAAGATTGGATTGAAGCTCTAGACTTCAGATGAAGGTTGGGTAAAAATAAATGGCAATTATCACAGTGTTGGAACGTCTGGGCTGTTTGTGGGGTGTTATGTTCAGGAGGACTTAGCATCCAGGCTTCTGGGCTCAGCTTTGAGGTGGCGTCCAAGAGTTTTTGGTGAAAGATTGTGTTATAATATATTCCAGGCAGATGTTTTTCTTTTGCCAATGTAGTTAAATCTAAAAGGGTCACAGCACCTTATCCAAGAGTTGATGCGGGTTGTTATCCGCTTGTTTTGGTGTTTTCTGAGTGCTCCTTAAATATGTAGGTAGCACAACACAAGGATGCGTCCTGCCACTGACCGATTACGGTGAAGTCCTTCTGCAGTGCTTATGGCTGCGTGAGAATGTGCTGACTACCTCGGAGGAAGCACTCTTTAATAACAGAGTTGCTATGGCTCTGTATGATTGTTAGAGCTGACTTTACATGTCTGACCAGAGTAAGATAAAGGGCTTTCATACAAGTAGCATCAGGGTAATACTTCTATTGGAAGTGGCATGATCATTGCTTGTCTGCATTTAATGACTCTGCAGGAGGTAAATTGGTCCAGAAGAAAGCACAGCACTCAGTATTACTGTGTGCTCCAAAACACAACCCAGTCCCTGGCCATGGTCACACTGGATAGAGTGGCCTCCAAAATATTGTCTCTTGCAGCTGCTGGCCTTGCACTCCAAGGTAGTGTCAGAGATTGCTGGGAATCCGTGCTGGAAGAGCCTGTGCCTGCAGAAGACAGGAAGCACTGGGGTTAGGAGCCCAGGGCTCAGAGGTGCCGATGTGTCTATGTTACACAAGTTCCCTCTAGTGTAATTTTTGCTCCTGCTGTGTCTTTGTGGACTTAAGAGGAGGCTTTGTTCAGATGACAGAAAGATCTGCTTTTGCCTATTTATGTCAAAACTGTGCGTAGACACAAGGAAACTTGAAGCAGAAAAGAGAAGTAGTTTCTGTAGATGAAAACTTAAGCAGGCTAGCTCCAGCCTCCTGGGGCTGCTTAGTCTTTTTTTAATCTTTAACTCACGCTCATCTATTTAACACGGTTGTTAACGCAGAAAGCCGGCTCTTGGGCTGTTGTAATTTGCCATACGTGGTAGCTGCCACTAAAATCAGAGGGACAGTGCCAGTTCACGTCAAACAGAAGTCTATCCTGAAACAAACACTTCTGAAAGGGGAGGGAATGGATTTCAGAGGTAGAAAGGGAGGAGGCCTAAGGCACCTTTGGAAAATCTCCCGTGGCTGACACTGTAATCGCAGTATGCTGTCTGCGCAGAGGCTCCTATAAGAAGCAGGAGCCGTATGCCCACTTCAGCTAAGAAGGGGCATCAAAGATCTGGCATAACATTTACGCTAAGCCATCGTTCCTTTGGGGAGTGCCCGTTTCATCTCCCAAACTGATACTATACTCAAGTGTAATTAGTTCAAGTACCTCAAGTTAGGTAAAATAGTTATTGTTATTATTAAAAGTCAATGTTCTAAAATGGCTAGTTGTTTGAAAAAGTAAGCCTAAACTTTCAGGTGCCTGTGAGGATATTGTGCTAGGTTCCCTAGGACTGAATTAAATGATAACTGATAACATATTACCTCAATGTAATCCTACTAAAACTATTCAAGAATTATGACAAAATAGGTTTCCCAGTACCAATGAATGCAGTTGGGATCTCACCAGTATATTATCAAGAAAGTGATCAGAGATCCAAGGGGATTACACGAGTCTCCCAA